TTATTGTTTGTCAAAAGACATTGTGTTCGTTTTTGGTCCTGCAATTACCTACATATTATTGGGGGCGTCGTCCGGGAGTACAGGCAGTCGAGCTATCATGTCGTGCACATGCACCGACACTAATGATACTCATCGCCGGAATCCCTAGTAGGGATACATATGAAACAACCAATAGCGTCATACGCATAAGTATATACGAAGCGTGTCTTTGACGTATCTCTTGAAGCGAGGGGTGGAACGATGAATTATTAACAACCGAGGTACTAACGATTTTAAACGTTATTTCGACAGCGATAAAATCGAATACATTTTAATAATCGGCGTGCCACGAAGTAACGAACAGGTTATCCCATTAATTATTAAGCTTTCAGCGCCACATTTCGAAAACTGGTACAAGTGCGTTGATAAAGTACGGCAATTTATAAATTCCACGCTATCGAGAAGTACAGGGTGAACATTTTTTGAATTATGAATAGGTCAAAATATGCGTTTGCGTGATGAAACGGAGTTAAAAAAAATGATCGAAAAAGAAATTATAAATTCATCGCAAGAGAAGCGTTCAGAATTACGCAAACGAGCGAAAGAACCATTGAAAAGATTCAGCGGGAAAATCGCAACAATTACAATCGAAAGCGAATGTGTGTTCTTATGTGTTGCTTCCCTTGTTTATGACACTGGCCGTCGCGACCAATAGCGTTTCTTTTCGAAACAAAAGCGGAGCGTTTTTGACGCTTCACCTAAGATTTATAATTTTTAGTATTACGTTACGTATAAAGACCATTGTCACGTGCAAGCGACGCGAGTCAGTAAGAGTCGAGAGCCGAGTTCGAGACAGCGAGCGTATTAATTGCAAGTTGCAAGCGTTTATTTTCTTTTAATTTTGTAATTTTCATATTCAAGTTATACTTTTTGCAAACATTGTGTTCGTTTTCTGTCCTACAATCCCTATCTATTCATCTAAGAAAAACAAAGCAAGTTCGTTTGGAATAAATTCTCACTTGAATAGAATTGCGACACAGTTGAATGGAAGCATCGCTTTCATTGAATATGTCCATGTTTCCTGTATTATCATTAACTGCAGAATCAAGTATGTCCATCTGCCATTTATCAGATGCTTTTAATTCTTCTAACATATTATCATCAGGTATTAAGTCTTCCTTGTTATCATTGATCATCATATGATCCATTATATCCTCAAGATTGCTGTTTAGATTTAATGATGTTTTCTGTAACAAAATGTATGCAAAATCATTAGTTGTACTCTCAATCAGATAATTAATACAGTCTTGGTGATGTAAGTATACTTACCTTTTCATTTCGAATCAACGAAAAGATACAATATGTTAGTGACAGAGCGAAGATGAGCGCAAGAACGAAACGTCGTCTGATTAATCTAATCAAACCGGCGCAGCTTGGCATTCTTTCCGCGTTCCGTTATTGCACTCCTCAAAGCAGCTTCAGATCCTCATGTGATCCACATAAGTTATCCTTGCGGTATTATTGATCTGTGTAAAAAATATCATTCATAGCTGCGAAAAAATTTCCTACGAATCGCAAAGAAGCATTGAAATTTCAATCGTAACTTCGGCAATAAGCGTGACAGAAAAAGGTTATGTTTTTGTTGTCTTAGATTCATACGACATAAGTATTATTTTGTCTAGCATTTTTATACGCTATCAACTTCATTTTATTTCGATAGATAACGCATAAAACGTTTTATCGACTTAATAATAACTGGACAATTGACTGACGTTTTGTTAATTGCGAATTGCGAACGAATGAACAACATGCAAAAACGTGGTTACAACACGAGTGAGCGCCAGCAAGTACTAATGAGCGCATTGACCTTTGAGCAATGCCGCCAAAATCAAGACGCAAAAATTATGCAATACGTAATTATGTAAAAATGTATTAGATTTAGACACAACATTACCAAAGAATAAAACCATACTAAATTTGCATTCTTTTTAGCTGTATCTTATTATTCTGAGTCTCTAGCTTCTGAGTAGTAAAAATAAAAACATAAAAACTTGAATTTTATAACGCAGAAAACATTTATAGATTAACATTCCATGCATTTGTTTTTTTTTTGTGCTAAGTTTATATATATTTCCTGAATTATTCAAAAATAAATAAAAACTTCGTAATATTTATGTATAAAAGTACTACAAAATCATTGTTTGATTAATAATCCTAATAATAACAAGAAAATTATTTTTCGGTTTAATAAGACCTTAAAATAAAATATAAGTTAAACTACAATATATACGAATTGATGTAGCAATCAAGTACAGCGCGGTTACGAATCGATGCAAAGCGGAATTCTGATTAGCGAGACAATCGGATGAGCCACAAAAGCATATATGAGAGAGAGAAAGAGAAAGAGAAAGAGAATGAACAAACAAATGCGTCGTATAGAATGCTACGTTATGATGTTACATGTATAGTGTTATTCATTTAGAAACTTCAAATACACCGTTGGTAACTAAAAATACAAACATAGAATCTAAAACTTAAGCCAGCGGCACACGGTACATTTTTGCTTACTGGATTGATTGCGAGCTAGTAAAATACTAGAAATGCACCATACAGCATACAGTATTTCTAGTATTTTACTAGCTCGCAATCAATCCAGTAAGCAAAAACGTACAGTGTGCCGCTGGCTTTAGAGTACAAAATTGACTTACAAATAATGTACATAAATAAACTTAACATATAACATTAGCATACATAGCATAAAATAAAATATGCAAAATCTTGCAGTAAATCAATAAAATTATATTTTTAATATAAAATTATATTTTACGTTATATTTCTAATATCAAGAAAGTACTCAACTATTAATCAAATATCAAAGTTATTCACATTAATGAAATAAAGGATTATGTGTTAAAAAAGTTATTCGAATATTCTCAGATGTATTTTTTTTCATAGGTTAAGAGAATCGTTAATAATCGATTTAACTTCATTCATTATTCGTTTAGATTGAAGAATATATTTAACTCTATTCATTATTCGTTTATATTCTTCAATTTAACTTCAATATTTATATTGAATAATATAAACAAATAATGAATAGAGTTAATATAAATATTGAAGTTAAATTGAAGAATATAAACGAATAATGAATAGAGTTAAATCGATTATTAACGATTCTTCTCTTAACCTAATCGATTATAAATATATATTCTTCAATATAAACGAATAGTTGATATTTCAATTGTATATAATTCTTCTTTTTCACCGAAGAGAATTGTAGTGGCAATTTTATTCGCTATTGAGGAATCTACACCAATCTAATTAGTTTGATATAAACTTAATTAATTTAATTTCGCGCTAAAATACATCATCTGTATGAGTTGCATAAACTGCTTCCGTTCGCGAGGTACTTCATGTAATCTAGTGCATCGGAAGAGGCGGGGCAACTAGGTTGGTCCATGCACGCAGCAAGTGCGCATGAAGAGAAACCGAACGCTTGTATGCTTTTGTGCGCATCATGCGTGAAACGGAACACATCCAGCAACGCCCGTTGCTACGCAGATAATCGTTTTAATGAGACTCATTCATGAAATGCGCGCGAATCGATATGGTTGTATGTTCGCCCGCGTTAGTATGTTAATTGCATACTTGGCGTAAGATACTCTGCCGAATTTTTTAATAAGATCTAAAATAAAGCAATGTTATATAGATTTATAAATTGTTCAAGTGTGCAAATACACAAAAATAATGTTTGATTTATTGTAAATAAAAACAATGTTTTTTAGTTTTTTATTTATGGTGAATATCCCAGGGAGAAATACAGGTCGAAGAAACGTCTATTAGACGTTTATAGATGTCTATTAGACGTTTTTTCGACCTGTATTTCTCCCTGGGATGCCCATCTACAGAATTGTTAGAAACAATTTTCGAAATCATTCTGTCGGTATTTATCTGGCGATTGAACAGGCCAATGTACTAGACCAGCCCGCCCAATCCACTAGCTCGTTGTAATCCCGATCCCATAATTTGTCGTGCAACACGCGAATAATGTGCCGGACAACTATCATGCATAAATCACTACATATTCATTCTTTTTTTCTAAAGCTATCTTTGGCGTAATCACCAAAGGTCGAGGTGATTACAACAATCTATTCTTCCCTAAAAACTTAACAAGCTTTGCCTGAAACATTTTTTCATAAAATGCTTTGTCGTCGAGATATTCAGATATGCCAATTAAATGCCTCATCTATCTTTAGTGCTCAAATATCTTTCAAAATAGAAATCGAATAAAAAACTGTTTCGCACAAAAGTTGCTTGTTTTTTTACGTAGAATAAGATGTTAAAAAATAATAAGTTCCCATTTGAAAAAACAAAGTTAACCTTTAAATAATCTTGAAAACATCCACAAAATAAAAAATGAATAATAGGTTTTCCTTTCCCCCTTAAAAACAAACAACTTTTGTTCAAAACATTAGTTTCTGAAGTGCATTGTTTTCGAGATAATTTTGAGATAAAAACCAACTCATATTGTATTAAATGAACTACCCTGTATATAGGCTCTTATTGATAAAATAATTATAAATGTAAAAAAAGAGATACTTGGTAAACACCAGATGTAATTGCTTAACAACCTTTTTTTTCAGCACATCAATATAAATCAATTTAGTTTGCTGTTGTGTCTTGAGAAAGTTTAACTTTGTGAAAAACAAATTTGAGGTGCGGTGGAATCAATTCTGTTTTGATACAGCCTCTTATGAACATAATACGTAACCTCAATCTGGTCTTAAGTAAAATTAGTTTATCTTTGATATATTTGATATCAATCTTTGATATATTTAATAAGAATATAACAATCAATTGTATTTTACTCACATGTTTCTCAGATTTTCATTGTTGTTTCCATGTTCCTCATACCATCTATAAAATTGTGTTGATCCTCCATGTGCTGCCAAAATTGCTCTTAACTGTTTCTTTAATTGCTGTAAATTTTATTTCTTAAAATCTCTTTGACATATTTGATAAGAATATAACAATGCATTGTATTTTACTCACATGTTTCTCAGATTTCCATTGACCCATAGATGGTTCCTGTAGATCTATAATCCAATATGTATCTTTGTACAAAGTCTATATGAAACACATATTTTATTAATTAACTGTTACATTAACCGTTACCAAAACTTTTAACCATTATGTTGAACCTTTAATCATTACTTTGAAATGGTTTAACTTTAATTAGAATTTTAATTAGAACTCATCATTAAAATTTTGTGAAAAACATGATTTCGAAAATTGCAAGTAGCATTATAAATCTTACTTCCTGTTGTAAATGCCTTTTGTAAGTACTACACCAAAGAGTACAACAGTTGTAACATCGCTAAGCGTCTTCTCTGTTGCGTCACTTTTGTACCAATTTTCGACGGGACCAATTTATTGCGTGTCAAGAGAGGTGTACTTGTACGCGCGGTGACGCGCGTTGCTCCCAATGCGGCAATCTTAAAATTTGTCTTTCCAGTTGATATTTTGTCCATATTTCGTCCATGAATCAAGATTATATCGCACACCTGCAAGAAAAGTAAAACACAAGTAAAAAAAACAATTGTTTAGGAGAGAAAAGAAGAAATTGTATTAAGGTTAATGTTTTCTATTAATAATATAATGAATAAGTGTTTATCTAAAACTCTGTCGCAAATTATAAATCATCTGAAGCAAACTTGATTTTACGGAAAATAATTTCACATGTCTGTGCTTGGTTAAACAATAATTTGAAAATTAATTATTTACGGTGGTATGAAACATATCAAACTCATTCAGTATTTGATTTCAATTTCTATCACTTTCCCTAATTGAAGACCAATGCATTTAAAATACAATCCATACATAAAACGAAATTTAAAACATTTTTTTGATTATTATATATCATTCAAAACAGAAATGGGAATTGCAGCCTTCGGTTCGATTGTCGGGTGATTTGGGGTGACTCACGCCCAATGCCCTCTCCTAGTAACGATTCGCCGGACGCGCGTAACTAAGGAGCGCGATATCCAGCCTTATATTTATGATTATATTATAGCTATATTTTTAATTATAATTATGTAATACGCGTGGATCACTTCCGATTATACTCGATTGTATTACAGTATTACACAGTAATACAGTATTACACAGGTTGTGTTCCGAAATTCACTGCAGTACTGAAAATCTATAGTTTACGTTATGTATATTGTAAATTTTCAGTACTGGCAGTGAATTTCGGAACGCAGCCACAGTAATACTGTAATACAATCGAGTATAATCGGAAGTGATCCACGCGTATTACATAATTATAATTAAAAATATAGCTAATTATAATCATAATATAATCATAAATATAAGGCTAGTTATCGCGCTCCTTAGTTACGCGCGTCCGGCGAATCGATGCGTACACAGTAATATTGTAATACAATCGACTGTATAATTTTAACATAAGTACATTATTTTAACATATATTGCGAAAGTAAATACTTGAAAGTAAATACTTGTCATATTCATACTATTATAAAAAATTCGGATCAATATTTGTATAATGGAAAGTTTAATAACAACTTACTAATGCGTCTGGTTTTGTTAAAGCTTGCCCACGCAATATACATGTCTAAAAGACGTCTTAAAGGCATTTAATTTAAGACGTTATTTTCAAGACATCTTTAACACCTAATTGTAAGTATTTAAAAGAAGTATACAGGGTGTCCGGTGACTCACGAATCAACGCTCGTGAGCAGATAGAGCACATTAAACAGAACAGAAAAGTTCTTTACCATTTTGCAATTCTCGCTATAATTATTTAAGTATTGATTAAAAAAGATTGCCGAATAAGCGCGCGGCTAGACCGTAGGATATAACTGTAGGCATGCCAGCGACAAGTCGCACATCGCACGGCAACGAAATGTTTAACCTCGCGACGAGAGTCGCAGACACGCGACAGTAGCAAGCGGACAGAAGCCTACAGTTACATCCTACAGTTACCGGACACCCTGTATATTGAAACAGATTATTGCAAATCAAGATCTTGATTGCAAGTCACAAAATTAATGTTGTTTCTTTTATCAAGATTTTTTTCAAATCATAGATATAAATCATAGATACAAGAAACTAAAAATACCTTTATATTTCATGCTTTATAAATAAATTATATGACATATGTCATACGTCATATAACTTATTTATAATATAAATTATATGATATGCATTTATTATAAAAATATATATAATATATGAAATGATATTAATTTTTTACATGGATACTTTGATACAAATATTCATAATATGTATGTACACAATATGAGTATAACATACATAATATATACACATGGAGCACATAAATAAAAATATTTTACAAACTAGAACAGTGTTTCTCAAAAAGTATGCCACAAAGTCGCGTGCTGCGAGAAATATTTTTATTAAAATAGGAAAATAAGAAACAAGTAAATTGTAAATAATAACAAATAAAAATATAAAACGACTACAAAATATAAAAATATAAAACGACTACAAAAAAGGCATTTTTGGATCTACGATTTGCCTGGAACAAGTAAACGTGGAGGTGTCAGTGAGGCCAATTGAAAGTGTTGCGATCTAGCGAGATCGCGAGTTGAAGAACTAACTCAATATAACATCTCTTAAAATAGCGTTACTGTACCGCATACAATTTTTACCACGCTAATTTCTATTAATTTAGGAACTGACACTTCCAGGTCTGTGTTGTTGCGTGCTCGAACTATCTTGTCAATAAACGATATTATTGTGTGCCATAATATCCCACACGGCAAAACAATATGCCGAATACGAACTAAAAAAGTTTGAGAACTACTGAACTAGAGTATGAATGTACGTAACTGATAAATTATTGCAAAATTGACGTATAATACATACACTTTTTTTTTATCTTTTAGAGTACCTTCGACCTATCTCCTTTAATCAGGTTTTTTAGCACATAATACATACTCATAACTAACCTAAAAGATTCTGATAGGTTTGTTCGCATCGCAATGCCTCAACATGCTCCTATTCGCTCCAATACGCTCCAATCTATAGCATACGTAACGTAATACTATAGATTGGAGCACATTGGAGCGAGTAGGAGCATATTGGGGCATGCGACCACTGAAATATATATATACTGGAATGGGCACTGCCATGCTACGTATACATTGGCGGCTAGCGAGCTTGAGATAGATAGCTTGTCGTGTTTGTATTTGGTGTTTCGATAACATGCATGCGCACATCATTGAGAATCAAGCAGATCAAAAAGTTTATACGCTCGATTCGTTTGCACCGATTGTAACTACTACTCGGCTTAACACAGTTGCACGTCGAAAGTCACACAGTCAAAAGTTTCAAACTTTACTGTACGAAAAAGGACATCAATACACGACATATGGTTCTCTCTCGACTCGTAATAAGTGATTCAATGCACATTCCAGTATGTATATAGTTCAGTGCATGCGACGCGAACGAACCTTATGATATGTGCCAGATAGCATTGAGAACTGTATGGCGCTTCTATGGCAAATCTGGAAACTAATCTGTTGCTCTTTTTTTGGGCCACTTTTCCAACGTGGGTTAATGTTAATCCACGATTTCAATTTGTTAATAGAATTGCTAACATGAATGAAATATGGTCATCAAAAAAGAAAAATTTAAAATTTTTGTTATCTTTAATGAACATATTTTATTCTTCATGTTAGCAATTCTAATAACAAAGTTAACGTTAGCTGACGATAGAAAAAGTGGCCCTTTATCTTGGGTGTATTCCAAATCGTGTTAGTTTGGCTTATTTTATTTTCTAGATGTTGGCAGTCACTAAACTAAACCGAGACGTGTTCCGAACAGCCAAACCCTGTCGTAGGCCGGTATTCATAGTTATTTCTTATATTTAAGATCGTCTTAAGTCGTCGTCATCGTTGTCTTAAGATACTAATATGGCTTTTTGATTGGTTCGTAGCATTTTAAAACAAAACTTAAGACAATCTTAAATATAAGAACGGACTATGAATACCGGCCATAATATGTAAAACTCAGTAGCTTGAAATTATAAATTTTATTGTTATGGTTTTGAATTTCTAAATAAAACATTTTCTCTTTAATTTTAAATAATTTCTTGCTAACACTGTGTTTGTACATACATACGATACTAATTGCAGGATAACAAGTTCAGAACACTTCTTGAGACTATCACAAAAAGCGCCAAACAATGGCACAGCACTATAAGGCGCGAAATCATACATACATAATACATACATAACAGATTAGATTTTGGTTCCTAATTATTAACAGAATCATAATGCGAGTCAATCCTTATTAGGCCTAACTTGATGAATTGAACACTCAAGGTATTAAATTTAAAGTATTAAAATAAAAGAGAAATATAAAAATACTTAATAATTAATAAATTTAATTTGACAACCTTGATAAGTATTTCTTGATATATAATTCTTATCATATTTCTTATTATATTTCTTATTAATATTTCAGAAAGGAGGATGGGTAAAATAGGTCGATTTTGGCCCCCGAAGCGGTAAGTAAAAACGGTATGTTTTTTTGTAGTTTTTGAGCTGCTGAATCTGAATCTGACTTTTAAAAATGTCTAACCTGTCGGGAAAATATTAAAATCAGCATATAATTTTTAAAGATTAGATTCAGATTCAGCAGCCAAAAACTACAAAAAAACATACCGTTTTTACTTGCCGCTTTAGAAGCCTATTTCACCCATCCTTCTTTATCCCAGGCTTCAATTAAAGTTATGCAAAAGAGATGGAGAATGCAAGAAGGAATGAGCGTTCAAGTTAAGAATCAATTCAAGAAACACACTATTTAACAGAAATTACAATTGACAATTGTTAAGATTATTTTGTATAATATTGAAAAGATCCCTGATGGAAATATTTTGCTGAAAGTGCTATGAAATCAATGAAAAGTAAAATGAAAGTGTTTGAAAAATTACTGAATATATTTCAAAATAAATCATAATTTTCCGTATAAAAATTTAATGTAATACTATGAAATATAAGGAAGGTTAAAATATACTGCTGAAAAGTAATAAAAAAGTTTTGAAATAATTATCATTATAAAATTTACTAAATTAAACTGAAAACTGTTACTTTTTAATGAAAAATTGCTGAAATATGTATGAAATTAATTAATGAGGTCACTTGAGAAAAATTTTCAAATACTTTTTCAGCAAAATTTCGTTAAAATTTTCAGAAAAATATTTCCATCAGAAATGATATGAATATTTGTACATTGAAATGTTAAGAATAATAATTTGTTATGTTATGCATGCGTTTTAACTAATAGATAATATAAAATTTAAGTTTATACACTAATAGCGTTTTCGATTATACAGGATTTGAACGACCCAGGGTTGGTTAATGACGTCATTGCAACCTCTCCACCAATGAAAGACTTGCATTTATAGTAAAATAGTGATTGATCAACCCTGAGTCGTTCAAATCCTGTATAATCGAAAACGCTATAAAAATGATCAAAAATATGATCAAAATGTTTGTGTAAATCATTATATATTAATAAAATTATTTTTTGAACCCTACATTCTAGCTCGGGCTTTAATAGCTCTTCTTTGAATTATTAAAGAAAATAAATATATGTCACGAAAAAATTATCCATAATATAATTCTAAAAATTAAATGTGATTTACCTGTTGCACAAAAGATTGCCGTATGAAGAATCAAGTGTGCAAAAAAGTGTGTTTCTTGAATTAATTCTTAACTTGAACGCTCATTCCTTCTTGCATTCTCTATCACTTTTGCGTTCCTGTAATTGAGGCCTGGGATAAACTTTCTGAAATATTAAGATAATGAGAATTATATATCGAGAAATACTTAGCAAGGTTATCAAATTAAATTTATCAAATATTAAGTATTTTTATACTTCTCTCTTATTTAATACTTTAAATTTAATACCTTGAGTGTTCAATTAATTAAGTTAGGCCCAATAAGTTTATTAGGTTGCAGAAAAAATTCGAACTGTTCTTTCGGTAAATATAACACTAGATAAGAGCAAATTTTTTTCACAACCTAATACAACTTAAAGAAAATAAATATATATCACGAAAATTTTATATTATCTATAACATAATTCAAAAAATTAAATGTAATTTACCTGTTGCAAGAAGAATTGCTGTATAAAGAATTGTGCTAAAAATGTTTCTTGAATTGATTCTTGAATTGAACGTTCATTCCTTCTTGCATTCTCTATCACTTTTGCGTTTCTGTAATTGAGGTCTAAGATAAACTTTCTGAAATATTAAAAAAATGATAATTACGTAGGCTGCTGGAAAAGTTTCTGCAATCTAGTACTTCCAAATGGCGCCAACGTTCTGCTACTATCATATCCGTAAAATTAGACGTTTCTAATCTATAATTCAGCTGACAGTTTGTACCCAGCCAACTAGTTTTGTTTGCACAATATTTTAAAAGAAGTTATTTTGGGAGAAAATGGAAATTTTGCGTGAAAATTTTCGGCCAATGATATTTTACGATTACAAATGTAGTCTAACTCCGAAACAATGCATTGATCGACTTCATTTGGCTTTTGGGGATGAAGCACCATCCAATAGGACTGTTTATAATTGGTTTGCCGAAATCCAGCGTGAACGCACCTTTCTTAGTGACGAATTTCGTGAAGATCGTCCATCCACGTCTGTTGTTGCCACTAATATTGATGCTGTGCGTAAAATGATTGAGCAAGATCGGCATGTGACATACCGCGAGATTCAGGCATCCTTCTGCATTGACATGAAAGCAATACATACGATTTTGCATGATTATTTAAACGTAATCGTCGCATCATCCTTCATCATGACAACGCAAGCTGTCACACAGCACGTCAAACCGTTGATTTTTTATTCAGTAAAAATGTCGAATTGATGATTTATTGTCTGTATTCACCTGATTTATCACCTATTGACTTCTTTTTGTTCCCAAACATCAAACATAAGATGCGTGGTGAGCGATTTGTGTTGCCTGAAGCAGCTGTTGAAGCATTTCGAACACTGATTTCTGAAGCTACAGCCTCAAAGTGGAAAAAATGCTTCGAAAATTGGTTCGAGCGTATGCAAAAAGTGTATCGATCTTAAAGGTGAATACTTTGAAAAACAATAAAGCCATTTACCGAATTTTACATATTTTTTTCCATATTGTTTGCAGAAACTTTTCCAGCAGCCTACGTATATATCGAAAAATACTTATCAAGGTTATCAAATTAAATTTATCAAATATTAAGTATTTTTATACTTCTCTCTTATTTAATACTTTAAATTTAATACCTTGAGTGTTCAATTAATCAAGTTAGACTCAATAAATTTATTAGGTTGCAGAAAAAATTCGAAATGTTTTTTCAGTAAATATAACACGAGATAAGAGCAAACTTTTTTCACAACCCAACATAACTTAAAGAAAATAAATATATGTCACGAAAATATTATCTATAACATAATTCTAAAAATTAAATGTAATTTACCTGTTGCACAAAGAATTGCTGAATAAAGAAGTGTGCTAAAAATGTTTCTTGAATTGATTCTTGAATTGAACGTTCATTCCTTTTTGCATTCTGTATCATCTTTGCGTTCCTGTAATTGACGCTTGGGATAAACTTTCTGAAATATTAAAATAATAAGAATTACATATCGAAAAATACTTATCAAGGTTGTCAAATTAAATTTATCAAATATTAAGTATTTTTATGCTTCTCTCTTATTTAATACTTTAAATTTAATACCTTGAGTGTTCAATTAATCAAGTTAGGCCCAATAAGTTTATCAGGTTGCAGAAAAAATTCAAACTGTTCTTTCGGTAAATATAACACGAGGTAAGAGCAAAGGAGGATGTTAAAAATAAATCGATTTTGGCCCATGGTGTGGAACCAAAACTAAAAATGGTTTTCTTATAGATTTTATACCGTAGAATCACGTGGTAAAGCCCGTTTTCCTCTAGACAGCGGGAAAAGTACGGAAAAATTGAAAAAAAGACCATAAAAAATGCAATTTTCCGTACAAAAAACACATGTACTTATGGATGTACTTGAGTAAACACATGCGTCTACAGCTTTTTTTTATGTGTGTGTGTGTGTGTGTTCTGATAAAAATATTTGATCTTCTTATCAAATGTTTCTTCACTGTCGGCATTAGCGTCACCCGATGTGCATCACGTGATTTTTTTCTAAAGATATGTGACAAACCGAATATGTCCGTGGCATATTGTTCACGAAAGGAGAAATTCTTAAATGTCAGAACTAACAAATTCACAGATTGAAATAAAAATCGAATCGATTTGCATAAGATAATTACACCATTCTTAAATGGAAACTAACGTTATCATCCTGCAGATAAAACGATTTTTTTAAAAGTTTAGAAGAGATATATACTCAATGATATTAAATAGTATCATAAATAGACAAATACTATTAAACGATTTATTTTTTTCTACTAACAAAAGTAGATTTGAATCCTTCGATAATGAAGAAAAATCACGAGTTTCATGGATTCGAGATTAAAGATATATACCTTTTGTACATATTATACAGCAATGTACGTATCATTCGCATATTGCATTATGTGTATTGAACACAAATCACGGCTCAAAGAAAAATATATGCCCACGAGAAAAAAGCTTGAACACACTTGTGTTCACTCAAATACATCCATATTTACATGTGTTTTTTATACGGAAAATTGCATTTTTCATGGTCTTTTTTTCAATTTTTCCGTACTTTCCCCGCTGTCTAGAGGAAAACAGACTTTACCACGTGATTCTACGGTATAAAATCTATAAGAAATCATTTGTAGTTTTGGTTCCACATTATGGGCCAAAATCGATCTATTTTTAACATCCTCCTTTTTTCACAATCCAATATAACTTAAAAAAAAAAATATATGTCACGAAAATATTATCAATAACATAATTCTAAAAATTAAATGTAATTTACCTGTTGCACAAAGGATTTTTGTATAAAGAATTGTGCTAAAAATGTTTCTTGAATTGTTTCTTGAATTGAACGTTCATTCCCTTCTTGCATTCTCTATCACTTTTGCGTTCCTGTAATTGAGGCTTAAGATAAACTTTC